GGGCATCTCTGGGGCGCCCTGCCCTGGGTCCGGCGTCGGTGGAGTTCCTCGGGCTGTGGGGGGTCTTTGGACCCAGACCCAGTGTTCTGTGGGGCTGTCGAGTCCACCAGCCTGTGGTAGCTCCTCGTCCCGGGACGTTTAGAGGGTTTCAGTGGGGGAGCTGGGCAAAGGGGGTGCGGGGGCCTGTGCTGGCGCTCCCCCTCCCCCCGGCACAGCCAGCCCTCCCGGGGGGCAGGAGCTAACCCTAGGGCCCTGGGACTCTGTGTGCCCTGGTGACAGAGGTGAAATCGAGCATTTCTTTCTGGGTTTTGAAATTCCCCCTCCAGCAGTAGGACCCACCAAGCGTTTGATCGTCTAAATTAAAGTTGCTCAATTTCACCCTTAGCTGGTTTGTTTGTGCAAGGTTCCCCAAATGAAGCCGGGTTGGTGGTTTGCAATACTTTCTCTTGGATATTGCTCTAGCATATTTTAAGAAATGGGTTACATTAATTTTTGAAGGGATCTTTGTCTGCTGTTCTTCCTGGTGTTTCTGCCTGCCCAGCGATGCAGGCACAGCGGAATCGAGGGGGTGAGAAAGGAAAGATGAGCGATGCTGGGAGAGATGCATGGCATTTCAGTGTGTAGTCCCTTCACTCCTATTTGTCGTTGCTACAACTGAAGAACAGTATCCTTGTTTAATATAACTTAATCTTTTCCTAGACCTGTTACTGTATCGAGCTGTTGGTTAAATAGACAACAAAAACCCCAAAGCGCTACACAAGTGCTTCAGTGTGCCGATGGAACTGTGTGTGCTGGTCGCTGCATGTGCTTTGCTTTTCTGCAGTCTCTAATTTATAGTGACCTGTCATTGCGTGGGTTTAATTTAGAGGAAATGACAATAATTAGTATTTTTATATGGAAGGCAATCTGTGACTAATTAAAATCCTCTTCTTTTATATGGAATTCAGCACACAGAGCAATGAAACGAGTTGTGGTTCTTGCTTTAAATGGTGAGCGAGTCCCCTAAGAGTCCTAGCTCAAACTTGGTGGAGGCTTTTTGTTTCTTTTTATTTTTCTCTTCAGCCTAAGGCAAACTTAGCGGTGTGATTTGTTGAGACTTTTCAGGGTGAGTTGAGTCAGCGACCAGGGGCAGAGCTGCCCCTTTGCAGGATACCAATAGGCAGGGGCACGTCAGAAACTGCCCAGGTGTCCGGGCATCTCTGTTCTAGCTCCAAATTCTGCTTCCTAATGTAGATCTCGTTCTGCCCAGTGCCAGCAGCGCTGTTCTGGTTACCTGAGCGGGCTGTCTGTGTGACTAAAGTTTGCCGTTTGATTTTGGAATGCGTCTGAGTAGCGGGACTCTGTGGCTTTGGAAGGTGAACCCAGAAACGTGTGTTACTGATGGTTTTCCCAGGAAGTGACATTAAACGTCCTCCTCTGCACCCGCGGGGGATGTGCAATAGCCTCACACTGAAGGTCTATATGGCTGGACTGTATTTTGAAAATCCACTGCCTCCAAATAAAAACACACACCACCCCCCGCCCCCGCAGTGCATGAGCAGGTAAACCCGGGCTTTGCAGAGCTTGGTGGGGTTTGCAGCCTGCTTGCGTCTGCTGGGCTGAAGGTCCACCTTAAATGTCCCTATATGAGTATGGAATTTGGCTGTGCCCCGGTGTAGTCTTACACTAGCCTTCCCTAGTGTGCTCCTGCCTGGCTTTAACCATACAAAAATAGACAGGATCCACTACCGAAGATGTCATTGTAACGTTACTTATCTGAGGTGAAATTGAAGCCCTTATCTTTGACGCTGAACAGCAATTCAGTGCCTTGGTTGCCTTTTAAAGGTAATTTGTTGCCCACGTTTGTGGGGAGAGGAGGAAGGTGCTTGGGTTTTGCTGCCTCAGAGTTTTGTGGTCGTGGGTATTTAACTTCAGTTCACAGCTTTCATTTGAGGGTTGGTTTTAATATCTGAGTTGTCTGTAGCATTATTCTACCAATATGAAACTATGCTATAAAAATATAAAAGTCACAGGGATTTTAACTTCTTCTGATTAACTTCAAAGTTGTGATGTTTTGACGTGGTTTTGAAATTGTCAAGACATAATGTGTTTAGAAACAAGCTTTGAGCTGATGACATGGTGGCATATGATATTAATTTTGTTAGAAGTGAATGTGCCAGTAGTGCTAATTTCTTTCATGCTTGGATTTAAGGAGTACTATCAATTCATGCTTGTCTCAATAGTGACTAATTTTAGGATTATCTTTAATGTTGGGTGTTTTCCCTCCCACATAATATTTTGTTGCTAAGAAGTAGTTGTCAAATGCTTCAGCACCAGAAGTTCTTGAAGTTCGAAGTCCACGTTACCAGTTCCTTAGTTATGTTTCTTCCTAAGGAAAACAACATGTGAGGAGTAAAAGCACAAGTAATGACAAACCTGGTGTGGTTTTTCTGGTCTTTTTTTACTATGAAGGGGAACACAAAGAAAGAAGGCTTTCAAAATAGTAGATGGTGCCTTTTGTTTTTACCTTCTTTAATTAAAACTAATTGTCTTCCACAGGCATCAATTCTTTGGATTTGATCCTTGAATACTAAACATCATGAGCAACTACAGCGTGTCTTTGGTCGGCCCAGCTCCTTGGGGCTTCAGACTTCAAGGAGGGAAGGATTTCAACATGCCTCTGTCTATCTCTCGGGTGAGTGCCTTTGCCTCTGCCTTCGTGTGGGTATCTGTTATGCTGTGGCAAACCTGCAACCTTCAGACATAAGTATGCAAAGCCGTTAATTACAGTTGTTGGGGCTCAGCTTGACCTGTGGCATGGAGGGCTGTTCGGAGGGGATGGTAACCTGGGAAAATAAATCTTTTTTACTGTCTGAAAGCTCCAACAAAATTGGCTAAGGACATATTCATTTGGAATGTTGTTTTATCTGCATTTGTTTATGTGATAAACAGAAAAAACTACCTTTGAATTCCCCTCTCTGCTCCCACCCAAAAAACAGATGCAGAGGTTGGAGGCTGGCAGGAAACAAGAATTTTCTGAGCAGACCTGTGCCTGTGCAGTTCAAACAGGAGGCAGTGAGAGAAAAAAAAAAATCACTCACATTACTCTTGTTTATTCAGCAGCTCGAAGATCTCCTGGTGTCTGTTCTTGCAAATCCCTCTATTTACGATAAGAAGGCACTTAAATGACAGCACTTGTAAATAGTGGTTCATCAATATGTGCTTGAGTGAACATGCCAGTTTCTCACGAGCGAGCGCTGAGTACGTGCTGTGAACTGGTATTCAAAGGAATTGAGGCACCAAGTCAAAACAAATGTGATATTCAGCAGCTCGAAGATCTCCTGGTGTCTGTTCTTGCAAATCCCTCTATTTACGATAAGAAGGCACTTAAATGACAGCACTTGTAAATAGTGGTTCATCAATATGTGCTTGAGTGAACATGCCAGTTTCTCACGAGCGAGCGCTGAGTACGTGCTGTGAACTGGTATTCAAAGGAATTGAGGCACCAAGTCAAAACAAATGTGATCTTTGTACCGGGGCACTATCTAACTGGTTTCGTACTTTAAAACCAGGTCTTCAGGGAAGTCTTGTCTTTCAGTGTGAGCCGAGTTTCAGAGCCTTCCTCAGACAGCTGAATCACTTCACATATAAAATACAGGGGCAAACTTTGCAGTGTTGAATTTACAGGACTGCTGGAGTTCTCTGGGTGAAGCAACTGGCTTCTGATGGCTCTGTACCCTGGCACCTTTAAAGTTGATTTCCAGCATGGAAGCGTTTATGTGCAAATGGCCCCTTCTCTGTCAACAGCTCTCCTCCCCCTCCTGCATATTCATGTAGTTTAGTGACAAAGATGAATTTTTTACACCTGTTGGTACTGCAGAATTGATACTGCCCTGGGAGACAGAGCAGGTTTCTATTTGGGTTTATGCATCATGGCAATATTTTTAGCTAATCTCAACTAGTGATTCAAACTCTGCCAGTTCATTTAGACTTGGCTTATCCTATCCACCTTTGGATTATGCTATGAAGTTAAAATAGTTTGGCTCTGCAAAATTATTTTTATATGGCTAAAACGAACTGGAGAGCTGTAGAAATGCCTGTGTACAGATGAGTACAGCTGATATCAGAGACAAAAAGAAGCTGAGAAGCAGTTTATCCCCAAATTCCGGGGATTTCCAAGCTAAGCTGTAATTCAGTTTCATGTTCAGTAGCTGGGCATGTGAATAGTGCTCTTCTGATCTGTCAGTAGAAATGCTGTCAGGAAAAGGATTTGTAAAAGCTTAGGTTCTTGCCTGCATAAGGTGCTTGTGCATGGTACTGATAAGCAATTATGCACTGTAGGCAGAAAAACATAGTAAGCAATTAGTTTTAGAAAAGGATATTACTTTTTTGTGGGTGCCTCTTCTGTCCTAGAGATTTAGACTGCTGTCCTGCTGTAAACTGGCTTCCCATCTAAAGGTTTCTAAAGAGGAAACATGTTGAAATTAATCCGGAGTATTGTTATTGCAGGAATCAAATATGCTGTTACAAGTAGAAGCCTAGGAGAATTGGATTAAATATCTATGTATGAAAACCTTAGTTATGGGATTCCCTAATGACAAATGTCAGTGAGAACAGAATGTAATGAAAGATGGGATACAGGGTGGTTGTAGGACTCAGATCTATGCATGAGAGCACAGAATTAAATTCACTACGGCACCACAGTGCTGCTCCTGAGCTGAACCATTCCTTTTTATTTGCAGTTAGGAGTATTCAAATATTAGACTGCCTGGTGCTGTTTTCTTTTTTTTTTTTTTTTCCTTTGTATCAAAAAAGTACTTAGTTCTGGTATGCCAATCCAGCTTTGGCTCCATAGCTGGAAGAATTCAACACCGTGTTCCTGGTATGCTAGAACAGGGCGTACCATTCACCACCCACCCCCCACCCCCCTGCAGCCCTTCTTTTCCTGATGAAGCATAAATGCTTTCCTGTATATGAAGACTGCTAATTAAATTATTTTAGCAAAACAGTAATGAGACAGCAGAATTATATTCTTTGGCAAGGAGCACTCTTTTGGGTTTGTTTTGTTTTTAATTTGTTCTCTAGCTGTTGAGGGTGAATCTGGCTGCACTGCTGAGAGCTAATTTCCTGCTTTAGTTTAAACTCCTTGAAATTAATTTCAAATAAAGTACAGTTTATGAAGCACAGAAAATACACTGTTTTTTAAAGCTATTTATCTGAAACGCCAATATATTTTTATTAATAATTTGAACAAATTAAGAACTCATGTAGTTCCTTGGAGAAAGTTTTTAGGAAGTAATTTGGCTTTGTACCAAAATGCAGTTTAAATGAGCATATTCCTTGTTGCCTCTCTAAGGTAAAACAAGCCTGTTTTGTATTCAACAGTTGAAATTCTTTATGTCAGCTAAGGTATCACAGGTTAATATTAATGCAGGCGTAGCACTAACGTTTGATTTTTTCATAAGCCAGAATATCATAGAGTAGTTGCACCATCGTAACCAATAGCAACAGTTATTGCAGGATTGTACCAGTCACTTAAAATAGCTCTCAGTGCTCTGAAGATGCTACATACACAGCTGTACACATTTCATGCTAAGTACTATATGTGATGTCGGGTATATAGCCTCATAGTTAGGCGTAAATCATTACAACAAAAATGCCTTCAGTACTTTTTACCTATACTTGGATTGGTCTAAATTTGAGTGAGGTGGCTTTTCACAGCTCTCCTCCTTGGCTTGCAAAGGCTCCTGCTTGTCTTGCGAAGTGCCCTTACACAGCTCAGGGTTTCAGCACTGGGAGGCTGGTGGGTGGAGCCGTGATGGGAGTGTGTGCGGGGGTATGGTGCTCATGAAAGAGGAGCTGTCAGTAGGTAGAAGCTGTTCTGAAAGTAAAAAACTTTGGTCTTTACGCCTCAACCAGGAATAGAGGATGGAGTGAGGCGGTAGGTTTACCTCTCCTATTAACAGCCAAGTGTTAAAGTGGCTCAGACCACATGCGTAACTTCACTAGTAGAGCTTTGCGATAGTTTATTCTGTGGTGGTACTTGTATAATGAGACATTGCAAAATGTGACCAGTTAGCCTGCAGTGAAGAAGGTAGAATTTACTGGAACTGAGGTGTGAAAGATTATTCTGGGTTAGTGTTCTTACTTTCTACATTAATTAAAGAAGCGACTGTTCTCCTTAGTCCTTCAAGACCTGTATTATGGGGCAAAACTGAAGAAATGGAAAGCTAGACTTAGTAAGAACAAATTACTGAGACATGAGGCTAGTTATATTCTAGGAGCTGGAAAGTAGTTACTGTAGGAAATGATTAAGATTCAGACCTTTTTTCCCTATAGAAGAAAAAGCTTAATGTCTATCTGTGCAGGTTTGGTTGGGCGGGTATTTTGGTTGTGGGGGAGGGGCCCCACGGGTGGCTCCTGTAAGCAGCTGAGAAGCTCCCTCAGCTCCAAACCCGGCCAAGGAGCCATTAGAGAGACAATGGATGCGCCTCTGCAATTAAGATGCAAAAGAGCTGATGTAAGACTTGAGGAGAGCAAGCAGTTACAGAGGAGCTGAGCTGGAGAGGCAGAGTGGTGCGGGTGGCTGGTGAGGAAGAAGGTGCCCAAGCAGAAGTTTCCCTGCAACCGGTGCCGAGCTGACAGGCTGTCCCCCTGCATTCATGGAGGAACGAGGATTTGTTTGTGCAAGACTTTGTTTCTTCTGCAGAATTAGAATGAAGAAATGCAGTTTTGGAGATAAAGTAATCCAAACACATTGCTAGGTGGGATTCTTGCAGTAGCTCTTGAGCATGCTAAGTATTATATTTACAGAATAGGGTTAATGATATCTACAATGTGGTCTATGTTGTTTACGTGCGACACGACAGTTTTTCAAACGAGACACACTTCTTTGAATTAGCATCGTATTTGATTTACTTTTTGGGGAGTTGGTTAGGTCCCAATGCTTAATTAACATAACCAGAATAAACTCAGTGTGACTGTAGCATTAGAACTGTCAAAACTGTCCCCTGCAGGCTTAAAGAAATAGTATTTGATATTGATTGTTCATTGTGTTGTGTGGCCACTGAGAGGTTTAGGTGTTTGTTCTAAATGTATGTAGCCTATCACGATTGTTGTGGTGCAGTCTCTAAACAGTGCGTATCTCTGTTTTATGGCAGTATTTACCACTGGAAACAAGGAAATACTGAAGTGAAACTATAGTTTGAAACGTAATGTATTCTATGTGCACTATATACCCTCCCACCTAATGCAAAAAATAGGGTATTTTCTTGTATTTAAAAGTTATTTTTTTTGTTCAATCCCAGTGGTCACTCTAGACATCTTTCTTCAGAAGATATTCACTATTTTTCTTTCTCCTGATGTAAGAATTAAATGGACTACGGTCTTGAAATGCTTGATCTGGCTGACAGCTCTGTTTTTCTACTGCAGCTTCTTTCAGTGTGTTCCTCTCTCTACCTCCCTCCCCACCCTCCCCCACCTCCCCGAGGCTCCTTCCTGCTTCCCTTGTCACTTTGCCTTTAAAAAAAAAAAACCAAACAAACAAAAAAAAAAACCCAGCCCATTCTTTTTGCAGTTTTTCAGTTTTCATTATTTCATCTGTTTCATATGGGGTTTTTTTTGTGTTGTCGCAAACTTATAGTTGACAGAAGACTTTTTATAATGAGCCTGTCAGCAAGCAGTACACCTCAGGAG